ACCGCGGCTTCTTGGTGTCCCTGATGGTCTCGCTGCGGCTGCCACAGGTCTTCATTGGGTGGTTTCTCCTCCTCTATTCCGGAGCGGACGCGACAGTCCGAGCAGGAGGCCTCCACACCAAACCCTTCCAGCTTCTGAACAGTGTGAGACAGGGCTGCGCCATCAGCGCCGCAATGTTCAGCCTCGCCACAAGCCCTCTCCTACGTCGCCTTGAGCAAGCGCTCGGCCCCGGTAATGTCCTCGTCTACGCCGACGACATCGTCCTGCTCATCCGCAGTGAGGAACAGTTCGGCGTGGTGACCTCCATCTTCGAGAACTTCCGGCGCGCCTCCGGCATAAAGGGAAATTTCACCAAGAGCAAAGGTCTATGGTGCGGCGCCTGGCGTGCCCGCAACGACGCTCCACTCGGCATCTCCTGGTCGTCGGTCGAACTGAAGGTGTTGGGCTGCAATGTGACGCCAGGAAATCAAAACTCAGCCCAAGAAAAACATATCCTGGTCCTGCTCGAAGCTGCTATAACGAGGAGGTCCCCCTACACCCGCGGCCTCTCTCTTGTCGGCCGGGCCAGAGCGGCCAACTCCTTGGTTCTCTCCTCGGTGGTCCATCACATCGACGGCTACCTGCCTACCGACCGTACTATCCACAAGATCCAGGCACGTCTTGCGCGGTTCATCTGGGGGCCGGAGCGCACCGCCTGGTTTCCTGGTAGCGTCCTGGCGAGACCTGTCTCTCTTGGAGGATTCGGCCTCATCGACATCGAGACCCAGCTGCGGCTGTCGTGCTTCAAGGGCGTGCAGGCCGCACTGCGTGGAAACCGTAATGCCTACTCTTGGCTGGTCGAGAGCGATGCGTGGCTATATCCACCTCCATCCGGGTCCTGGCTCTCGCCACGGCGTCTCCGGCTTCTTAAGATCTGGGAGGCGGTCGCTGACATCTTCACGCTAGACCACTCTGTGCTTACACCACATCAACTCTTGAACCTCCCCATCATAGGTGGCTGCCGCCTTCTCCGGCCACCCGACCTTCTCGCTCCTACCCGGTGGGTCAATGCCTGCATTGGGGACTTCGCTGGCCCTGCCCCTCCCCTCACTCGGCCTACGCGCTGCGCCCTGGCTGACGCCGCGTCGCTGACCAGCTTCTGCCGTCGTCTTATCGACGAAAATCTACGCGGGACCTACCGAGTAAACACCATAGGCCAGGCCGTAGTGCTGCGCGGGACGACTACGCCGTTCTTGCGAGTCATCACCCGAACTGCCCGTCGCATCTTAGAGCGTCCACGCCTGACTGCCCTGCCCATCATCCAGTTCGCTAGAAGGTGGGAGGAAAATATAAACCTACCCATCAGCATCGGCTGGTCGTCGCTCCGGTGCTGCGCCTTCTCGCCGTGAGGCTAGCTTTGCACGCCCTGCCCCATCCAGCCCATCCAGCATCGGCACATCAATCTTGCATCGCCTGTGGGTCCGGCGACCTGTCGCTGGTTCACAGGTACTGGTCCTGCCGCTACATCAGGCCTCTCATCCAGGAGGCATTTACCATCATCGAGCGGCCCCCTGACTTGCAGGGCTGGGTCTTCGGGCATAGCCTAGACGATGACGCCCTGGCCATCCTGGCGTCTGCCAAGACGCGCATCTATAGGCACTTCCTCGGCGCGGAACTGAGGAGTGTACAAGAAGACCCCCTCCTTGTCTGGAGGAGGACTCTCTCAAGGTGGGGAAGCCTTCCTTGCTGAAGATATTTGCATATATATTCCCCTACACTTTATAGGCCCATTTACTCTTTTATATTTTCTCCTTTGTAAAATTTGATTGAAAGAATCAATAAAATTGTTTAATTTGTCAATTTGTCAACTATTAAAATATGCGAAATATATATTAAAAATTTCACTCACAATGTAAATTAATGTAAATAAACTTTTAAAGCGTATATCGATTAAAATTTATATAAAATAAAGTTTTAACAGATATTATATATATATATATTTATTGATATGTATATTTTTGCATTTATATCTCTTGAAAAAAAAAAAAACTGGATAATCTCCGATCATTTTATTGACTTTTTCAAGCGCCATCTTTCAATATTTTCCACTTGCTTTACTCGGCTGGTTTGTTTATATTTGTTAGTATAGGTTTTGAAGTACAATGATAAAACGTATATATATTTTAAGTACCAATATGATTTTGTGTGCTTAAGCAATGCGTTCAAAACACATTTGTAACTAATTCTGTAATATTCACACTCTATTATTTTGAATTGGTAAGCAACATAAAAAATAGTAAAATTAAATGCTGCCTAGAATATGAAATACAGATTGGATAAAATGAAGCTTTGCCATTATTTCTTATTGTTTTAAACAATAACATTTTCGCTAGAGAATTATACTTATATTAATGATATTATATAGAGTGGAGTTAATTTGACAGCCATATTTGAACATATTAACCAAAACTATAATTTGACTATTTGATTGTATATAAATTTACTGTATATTGTAACGTAGAAAATTAAGAAAGACAAAACTTGAGGATGACACAGTAATATATTTAAGAACAAATCAACATTTATAAAATACCAGAGAAGCAATGAGGGAAGTTTACAGAGTAGTAACATATAAATAATCTATACCTAAAATAATATTTTGCTACAAGATAACTTAAAGAGGTACAATGGCATTCATCAGATTCTAACAAATTGGTATAGATTTGGGGTCTTAATGACTAGATAACTTTCACAAGGTAACAAGAACAAATATTCATTGACTTATAAAATAAATAAAGCATCCAGGGATACAATTTTTTTTCTTTAGCTTTCAGGCTAATATACCCTTCAATTGGAGCCACAAGGAGTAGTACTTCTACCAAACTATACACTCCGAGAGTTATAGAAATAAAAATTTTGCAAGTAATTTATCTCTGGATGTTTTATTGATTTTAAACACAAGATAATAAGACCAAATCCAAACACACCTAACACATTCTAACACAGTTTACTTATTTGGATTTGGTCTTATTACCTTGTGTTTATAATCTATAATCCAAATTGTGCCTTATCCTTTTATTGATTTTATTAAAATGACAAATCTGGGAGGTCTTTAAACTAGTTCCCATCTTCACCAATCCTAATCTGAAGGTTTGTAGGAGAAATCAATGGGTGAATACAATCCAACTTCTTCAATTAAACTTCCCAAGGAATCACAATTTTTGGTTGAATTATCAACTCTGTGTTGATTTGTTATCAGTTAAAATTATTAACAATTTAACACATCATTCACTGCTACTGGACCTTTTTCAATGACATTTTGTTGTCAATACCTAAGGAGTGTTGAAACAAAAAAAAAAAGTAGGTGTTGAAATATAGTCGATTTTAAATAATTAAACAAAATAGTTCTTTAAATTAAAGATACTTTGACTAGTGAATCTTTTTTATTGTCTCGACGTTTCAACAAAAATCTTTAAATATATAAAAATAAAAAAAGATTTACTGGCCGAAGTATCTTTTATTTGAAGAACTATGAATGCCGGCCTCTATCTTTACGATAAACAAAATATTGGGATTTGAAAAAAAAAAGTTGAATTAAAGTAGATGTTGATTTATACTCGATTAAATATAAGATTGTCCCAAATGTTCGTGTTTTTCTTATTACTTGGCGAACAATATTATTATGACGAATACATAATATTACATAATACACACAAGGTAATAAGACCAAATCCAAATAAATAAATAGTGTGTGACGTTTCGGTAACAGCGTTGTTACTATCATCAGACAAAATTAACAAAATAACAACGCTGTTACCGAAATGTCACACACTATTTATTTATTTGGATTTGGGTCTTATTACCTTGTGTTTATAATCTATAATCCAAATTGTACCTTATCATTACATAATACAAAGACGTTATACATAACGATGAATAATATTATGGCGAATAATATTGGTATTTCAATTTTTTTTGCAAGTGTTTACGAACTTTTGGGACAACTTTGTACGAGGGTGAGTAGAAAAGTAAGGTCTTCTACGAGATAATTTCCGAATGCGCGTTGCTAGATGAAACCCGACAACACCGCTGCCTTCCTTGGTTCCCCCTCTACCGTCTAGAACCTTCCCGGTGATCTTGGGACGCTCAGTCGCTGTCTGGCAGCCGTTCGCGATGGAGCTTCCCCTTAGCTCTCCCGCCAAGTGCGAGTTGCGCTCAGTTATACGCTTTTTAAATGCGAAAAATAATTCTCCGGTCGAAATTCACCGTCAGTTAGTGGAAGTGTATAGTGAGAAGTGCATGGACATCAAAAATGTGCGGAAATGGTGCCGGGAGTTTAACGAGGGGCGGATAAACGTCCACGATGAACAGCGGTCTGGGCGGCCGAGTTTGCCGGAATCAACCGTGGCTCGAATCGACGAAATGGTGCGCGCAAACCGGCGGATAACCCTTGAAGAGATCGAGGATGGCCTGAATGAAGATTGCAGCCACTTCTCCGAGCACAAGATTGTGTCTGAGACCCTCGGCTACAGAAAGGTGTCCGCCAGGTGGGTCGACAAGTGGCTCAAAGAGGCGGCAAGAGAGTGGTACAACACCGGAATTACAAAGTTGGTTGACAGGATGAAAATGGTGATTGAGCATCAAGGCGACTATGTAGAAAAATAGCAAAGTGTCCAACCTTTCCAATGATGTATAAAAAGTTGTGATTAAATGTGTTTTTCTATGAAAAAAAAATAGAAGACCTTACTTTTCTACTCACCCTCGTAATTAAAGAAAATAACCTTATTGGGTTTAAAGAAATATATAGTTGAATTAAAATAGGTGTTGAATTATGGTTGGGTAAATTAAAGAAAATAGCTTTACTTAGATTTTAAAACGTTTGACAAGTTTTTACCGCACATGTTTCTTTTGAACAAAAAATCAGAATTTATTTTAAGAAGAAATAATGGTTATTTCTATTCTTAGGGATGAAGTATGAAAGGATGAATTGTGAAGAGTAATGATGAACAGAAAAATAAAAGTGTCCAGGGATGGGAATCGAACCCACAGTGTTACGCTTACCGGGCAGATGCCATGTCCACTAGGCTACCCTGGGGGGAGGACATATTTTTCTGTTTGCAAATATTATATAAAGTTATTTTATAATACAATATAATGCGGCTTATGATTGTTCCCATCCCTAGACACTTTATTTTTCCGTTCATCATTACTCTTCACCATTCATCCTTTCATACCTCATCCCTAAGGATAGAAATAGCTGTTATTTCTCCTTAAAATAAATTACGATTTTTCGTTCAAAAGAAACATTTGCAGTAAAAACTTGTCAAACACCCGTTTTACAATCATAAGCCATATTATATTTTGTATTATAAATTACTTAGATTTAAAAAAAATGCAGAGGTTAAAGAGGTTCTACTGCAATTTAACTGCTGGTGGTGTTTAAAGACACGCTGGATGACCAAGGGGCAGCCATGATATCTGTGGTGGGCACGCCTACCGAATACCAGCCTGCTGGAACCAGGCATTCTCTAAAACATCCCAGCAGCACCTCTACTCCAGGTGGTGGCAACCAGGAGCAGTCCAAGGACTTTCTCCACTCCATGGAGAACTTCTCTCTTCACAACACCGTGAGTCCCACATCAAACTTCACACTCTTCTAAACACAAGGCTTTTTACTTATCCTTTTAGACATAGTATAGCCACGCTTGATAGATTAAAACAGGAAGTAGGTGAATAGCGTGGTAAGTTTCTTTATTCCGCACAACAAGCTTTCGGGCATCAGCTGCCCTTCATCAGGTACAATGCGTGATTAGAAAGAGTGAACCAATATTTATATGCAGTGAATTAGCATAAAAGAAAACTAACTAAGATCTACTTAAAAATTAAGAAATTTACATATGGAACTAAAGATAAAAGTACGAAATTTCTAAAAAATAAACTAAAAATCTGTATAAGACGAATTAAAGGTAAAACACGGGAAAAAGGATGGAAAGACGAGAAAATGTAAGTATCTAGGCATAATAAAGGAAAGGAGCAAAATAGGATGTCAGTGGCCAAGTTTAGAAAAAACAGTATATAAACTCTAAGTTAGACAAGATCTTGGAGGTCGTGCTTATAAAGAAGCTCAAGAACTCTTCTTGGTTCTCTGTACAGGAATCCTTTGTCTTTTCCAATACAATTTAGTATATGTTGGGGAGTGGCCTCTTCGGTTTTGCACCTAGTACACATGGGGAAGCTTTTGGCTCCCTCTTTATAGACTAGAGGGCGCAGGTGACCAGATTTCCATCTGGCCAACTGTGTCGATTCCCTTCTGTTTAGTTGGAGGAAACACAAAGTAATATTGTATAACGAATCAAAAATTCCATGAAGGAGCATCTTTTATTATAAAAGATGCTCCTTCGTGGAATTTTTGATTCGTTATACAATTATACCAATTATACGGAGTTTACCTGTAGAAAAACAAAGTAATATGACCAAATCCAAATAAATAAATAGTGTGTGACTTTTGGATTTGGTCCTATTACCTTGTGTTTCAATGCACTAGCACGCCATCTGTTATAAAAATTAGAAACTATTTTAGCCCTCCCTTTAATTTTTCCATTGCAGTAAGGGCAGTAGAAATTGTTTAATTTCAAAAAGAATCTTATGGGTCTAAAATAGTTTCTAATTTTCATACCTAGTGTCTATAATCTATAATCCAAATTGTGCCCTTATCACTCACACTATTCTTTTATATGTAAAGTCTGGAGATGTCCAGGATCAAATACATCATCATATTGTGTGAGGTATACTCATGGAAACGGAACTTAAGGAAGCTCTACCTTTTAGCATGTACAGTAAAACCTCCCTTTAGCGGACACCTCTCCATAAAGGACAGTTTTCATTTGCAAAATTACCATTTTTACAATTTAGTAACTCTCCGGTAAGAGGACACCTCTCACTAAAGGACACTTTGGTTCTGCAATTAGATGTCGTCCTTTACAGAGAGTTTCTACTGTATATCGGGATTCTGATAATAACTCTGAAAGATATTTGATACACAGTAACCTTTATTGAAGACACAAGATAACCAAGTGTGAACTAAAGGGCTTCTAGCATCTTCACAAAATTAGATGACTGGTGACATCAAAGACTTTCCACTTCCTTTATGTTTTGTCCATGAGTGTAGTTAAAAAAAAAAACATTAAAGACTTGTTATAACAACATTACAGAATAAATAACATTAGAAACATGAAATTTTAGCAATTGCCGGATATACTATGTTGACACAAAATTATATGAGTGACTTTTACCGCATGAAAAAAAAAAAAGGTAAGTAATTTGATAAGGCACAATTTGGATTATAGATTATAAACAAAAGGTAATAAGACCAAATCCAAATAAATAAATAGTGTGTGACGTTTCGAAAATAGCATTGTTACTGAAACGTCACACACTATTTATTTATTTGGATTTGATCTTATTACCTTGTATTTATGGTAAGTAATTTATTTAATTTTGTGTCAACATTGGAAAAATGAGTTCCAAAATGTTTTAATCATAAATATTCAATTGCCATTAGGTTTGTCTCAAAGTGAGCTGAAGTGGCTGTAGTGTGAGAGATTGTGTGTGGGGGCAGATGAAATGTTTCTGGAGGCTACAGACCAGTCCAGACAAAGAGGAGGGGGTGGAGGAGGAACTGTATGTGTGGGACAAGGTTGTGTACTGGAGTGTTGGTGGAAACCTCCTCAAGTCCTTCGCCATGGATGCTCCTGTGGAACAGGTGGAGTGGTGCTCCTTCTTCACCCGGAGTTGGAAGCCTCGCCTGCCCAATGCTCCCCCTCCCTCCCCAGGTGAGGATCTTTTTATCCATATCATCTTGGGCCTTGGTTTCTTCTGGTACATCATCTTGGACCTTGGTTTCTTCTTGCACATCATCTTGATTAATGTACAAGAAGAAACCAAGGCCCAAGATTATGTACAAGACGAAACAAAGGATCAAGATAATGTATGGCCTTGGTTTCTTCTTGTACATCATCCTGGGTCTTGGTTTCTTCTTGTACACCATCTTGATCCTTGGTTTCTTCTTGTACATCATCTTGATCCTTGGTTTCTTCTTGTACATCATCTTGATCCTTGGTTTCTTCTTGTACATCATCCTGGGCCTTGGTTTCTTCTTGTACATCATCTTGATCCTTGGTTTCTTCTTGTACATCATCTTGACCCTTGGTTTCTTCTTGTACATTATCTTGATCCTTGGTTTCTTCTTGTACATCATCTTGATCCTTGGTTTCTTCTTGTACATCATCTTGATCCTTGGTTTTTTCTTGTACATCATCTTGATCCTTGGTTTCTTCTTGTACATCATCCTGGGTCTTGGTTTCTTCTTGTACATCATCTTGATCCTTGGTTTCTTCTTGTACATCATCTTGACCCTTAGTTTCTTCTTGTACATCATCTTGATCCTTGGTTTCTTCTTGTACATCATCTTGATCCTTGGTTTCTTTTTGTACATCATCTTGACCCTTGGTTTCTTCTTGCACCCAACCTGGTCTGTTGTTATTTATGGCACATCATTTTGGGCCATGTTATTCTGACACTTCTTGAACTATTGGTTATGACATGGCAACCTAAGCTTTGATATAACATCTTTTTTTTTTTTTGGCAAAGAATCCTTGGGTTGTGCCTAGATGTGAAACATCTCTCATGATTGGCCCACAACCGCTAATATAGTTCCTTCTTTAAAAAATAACCTAATAAAACTTGCCAAATTTAATCTAACCTTGTTCATATGATATACAGGTCATGATAAAAATGGTTGGTAGTAGTTGGAAATGGCTTTTTACTGTAAGTACATGATATATTTACACAAGTAGAAAGCAGTTTGACTTTTGCACTTACAAATGTGCCAGAGCCCCATTTGGTTTTTGCACTCACTGGTAGGGTTGGACTTTTGCAAGAATCGGGGGTCATTGGACCAAATTTTTCAGAAAAAATGGTGTCCAAGGTGGGATTTGATCCAAAATCTTGGCTGTCGGAAATAGACAGTTTATACCTCCACCGACTTTCAATTAACATTGTAATATACAGTACACCTATCCCCCGATTTACACGGTACTTGTTTTACACGTTTTCGCTTTTACACGGTTTTCCAAATAAGTTTTTTTTTTGTTTTTATCGCAATATACTAAATGCTACTGTGATTGAACACATGCGCTGTGTACACATCTCACGAGGAATCCCGAGCTTATGTGCTGACTACATATTTTAACCTGTCAATGCATTTTATTTTTATTTCTGTGTACACCTATCCCCCGATTTACACGTTTTTCTCAGGAACGTATCTACCGTGTAAATCGGGGGATAGGTGTTTTTAATTTAATGACTTAATTCAATCAACACTCATTTTAAAATTCAACAGACAATTCTGATCCCTCAGAGTGTTGAATTAAAGAAGCTTGAAGACTGTATTTAAACTCATTGACAAAACTTGAGGAAGTTGTACCTTTTAGCATGTATATCGGGATTCAGACAATAACTCTGAAAGATACACTCATGGACAAAACTTGAGGAAGTTGTACCTTTTAGCATGTATATCGGGATTTAGACAATAACTCTGAAAGATACACTCATGGACAAAACTTGAGGAAGTTGTACCTTTTAGCATGTATATCGGGATTCAGACAATAACTCTGAAAGATACACTCATGGACAAAACTTAAGGAAGTTGTATCTTTTAGCATGTATATCGGGATTCAGACAATAACTCTGAAAGATATTACAGTGACCTTTATTGAAGACACCTGAGGAAACAAAGTGTGAACAAAATTGCCTCTGTCTCCTTAAAAAAAAAAATAGATGACTGGCATTTTGATTTTTTTTAATTTCAAAAATTGTACCTTATTACTTTGAGAAATAAGACTTGGATTAAAGATCCACAGATTTCTGGTTACCCAAGATGACTTGGGTCAAGATGAGTTTATTGTTCTCCCAATTCTGTCTTCCCAAGAGAACAACAGTCTTTGATTTCTAGACTTAAGTCTGGTCATCTACAGACAATGACAGAATTGCTGCAAGGTTTTCCCACTATGTACTAAGTGTCAACTTGCAACAACC